TGCGATCGTGTATCCAATTCCGTGCCGGGGTCGCATGTAGATGGAACTTAAGCCTGTGATTGCACAACGCAGATTGGCACTCGCGAGCCACGCACGTCGACGACTGCGAATTAAGACGACATTTGCGTATGAGACAGAGGAGTGCTTTCCAATGAGACAGAACAGAAGTTGAATCGTTCGTCAACAAATCAGATCGTCATTGACTGCCGCTTGATTGACTGGCAATATGTGCATAACTGGCATTACGTCGGAGCGTAAGCAAAACACACACTGTGTTTGCATTACGAAACACTTGTTTGACATTTTTTTTTTTTTTTTCTTTCTTTCTTTTCAATCTGTAACGAAGAGCGAAGAAATTTATTGCTCGCTTCGAGCAAAGATATTCGCTAATTTCGGAAGAAAGATCCCTCCGCCATCTTACCCAAAGAAATACGTAGAATCGAATTCGACCTTGAAGCGAGTAGTTGCAGTTCTTTACTATTCTCTTTGTATTCTCACCGAGCGAGAAGATTCTCTTTGTTCATAGAAATAGAAAAATAATTCCAGCGCGATATTCCGCTCTGTGTTTCTCGAACGACGACGAGTTGAAACGGGCAGCAAAATTTCATTTCGCGAAATGGCACGATCAGCGTTTACTGAAAAAAATCTAAAAATGTCTAAAAATGGCCAGGAAGAAACGGCAACGATTCGATCGCAAGTCCGCAAGAGAAGAAAACTCGTTTCGCTCAACCGACGAACGAATATTGTACGTACACGTGCTGCATTATCGATGCGTATTGCTATCTCGTAAGCTCCGAGACAAAGGCGAAGCTCGAACCAAGGCCACATACGCAACGAGACCTACTTTGTACGACTTCCTTGTCGATTAATACTATCGCTCGATAATACTGCTCGCCAGTGTGCGATTCGTTACCTGAAAAATGAAGCGAACCACCTCGCGTTTTTACATCTTCTCATCCAGCCCAGTGACTGCTACACTACACTGTCAAAAATTTATTTCGCATTACCCTCAGAGAAGTAGATAACTTATC